AAAAAAAAAAAAACTTGAAAAATAAAAAAGAGCCAACAGGATTTGCTGATGTGGCGAGAGAGAAGTCAAACATGTTTATTCATAAGCTAAGTACTTTACATTTTGTCCTGTTTAAGTTTATGACCTTGTTTATATACATTACCTTGTTTAAGTATCCCCAAACCCTCACTTTTTATAATTATGGTGAAAGTGAGGTTTGGAGTTCAGTGACTTGCCCAAGTTAATTTTAAGTTTATAAAACAGCAGAACTGGAATCCAATGTGGGTCTGTCTGGTTCAAAAGCCTGGTCTTAGCTCTAGTTCTAGTAAGGGTTTTGCTTTTCTTTCCAACATAGACCTCTTAGCCCAGGCTCCAAGAGCAAGCAAGACGAGTCCTGTAATACAACAATGTAATAATAAAGGTAGAGTACTTACATGTCTTACATTTTTCTTAACCTGCTTCCTGGGCAGAAAACACAATGCTACATTAATTTTTATTTTTTTTTTAATTTTTTTTTTCAACATTTATTTATTTTTGGGACAGAGAGAGACACAGCATGAACGGGGGAGGGACAGAGAGAGAGGGAGACACAGAATCGGAAACAGGCCCCAGGCTCTGAGCCATCAGCCCAGAGCCTGACGCAGGGCTCGAACTCACGGACCGCGAGATCGTGACCTGGCTGAAGTCGGACGCTTAACTGACTGCGCCACCCAGGCGCCCCAATTTTTAAAAACCTTTTAAGTTGCAGTAATTATAGCTTCATGAGAAGTTGCAAAAAATAGTACAGAGAAGGTCTGCCTATACTTTATCCAGCTTCCCTCACTGGTTACGACTTACTCAACTATATACAGTCATTATCAAAACCAGGAAATGTATATTGCCACAATATGATTAAGGCTTTAAATGCGCTTGTGTGTGTGTGTGTGTGTGTGTGTGTGTGTGTGTATGGGTGTAATCCTGGGTTAGTTTCAAAACAGGGTGCTTGTGAAGTGAAGACACAATTCTTACACGAACACGAGATTAATTAAATTGAGGGTATCCCAGTTCTCACGATAACAAGGATGTATAAACAGCACAAAGAGAAGAGAAAGAGGCAGGGAGGTGGGGAATGAGCCTGGAAAGATAGACCAAAGATATATTTGGAGAACCTTCTGTGCCGTGTTGAGGAGTTTGGATTTTATCCTATTCAGTCAGGGGTATCTTAGAAGGCTCTTAAGCGGGGCAATGACACGATCAGATTTGAATTTTCAAAGATTACAATAACATGAAGTGACGATTCAATGAAGAAAACCAAGTGAGCACTCAGAGGCAATTAAAACCAATGGGCACCCTAAGGAACGTGGCTCTGGAAATAGAGAGGGAGGAGGAGATTTAAGGAATGTTCTTCAAGGCAGAATGGACAGGCTGGTGAATGAATGTAATGATGAGACATGGGAGGGAATCAAAGAAAGCCGGGGCGGGGGGAGGGGAGGGCGGCATGAAAAGTTCTGCCATCACAAAGGCCTGGAAGACAGTACTGTTGGAATGATGAGGAGGTTAATAAGGCTTTTTGAGCTGGATGGGCCGGGATTCAAGTCCTGACGCCATCTTTTCCCACCTCAGTGTTCTCGGGCAAGTTAAAAATCCCCATGACCTCCATTTCTTCATATACAAAAGAGAAAAAATAGTAGCACATGGAATTTTTGTGAGGATGAAATGCATGAGTTCATGAAAGGTACATATTAGGCACGGGGGCTGGCGTTCTGCACAGGACATATTAGTCGTAAAAGGGAAGAAAGAAAGAAAGAAAGAAAGAAAGAAAGAAAGAAAGAAAGAAAGAAAGAAAGAAAAGCGAGGCAATGAATTCTATTTCATATGAGCTGAATTTGAGTTACCAATGGGAAGTGGAAAGATGGCCAGGGGAGGTTTGGAAATGTAACAAAGGAGTTCCAGAGCAAGGAAGGGCCTAGAGATATTGCTTTGGAAGCCAATATGAAAAGTAGTGGAGGTCTCTGGAATAAAGGGATCTACCTACGGAAAACATGAATGAGCAGAAAGGGGAGTTAGAAAGGAACTGAGGAGGTTGAACAGAAACTCCAGTTATAATTTTCCCTACCGTAATCAGTGCCATGGGCCAGCCAGCCATCCCAACCAATCTGTGTTATGTAGATCCCGTCTCCAGTGTCGGTGAGGGTATATTACAATGTGTGCGTGTGTGTTAGACCCGTCCACGTTGACAAGGATATGGAGAAAAGGAAACCCTTGTGCACTGTTGGTGGGAATGCAAATGAGTCTAGCCACTACGGAAAACAATGAGGAGGTTTCACAAAAAAATTAAAAATAGAGCTACCATATGATCCAGCAATCCCACGTCTAGGCATGGACTCAAGAGAAATTGGAAATCTCAAAGAGATATTCTCACTCCCTTCTTCCCTGCAGCATTATTTACAGGAGTCAAGATATAGAAACAACCCAGTGTCCATCCATGGTGAATGGGTAAAGAAAATATGGTATATACGTACAAGGGACTATTACTCAGCATCATGAAAAAAGGAAATCCTACATTTACAGCAACTTGGAGAGAATATTATTCTCCTCCCTATTTTATGGAGAGGGAAACTAAGGCAGACTGGGTCCTTTCCCTAGGGGCACACAACTAGGAAATAGTGTCACCTGGATTCCAACCCAAGAGTCTTGAGCATAGGTCACTATGCTATATGGGGAAAATTTCTCAGGCAGGGAACCGAAGAGCACGATGTCATCAAAGAGGAGAATATGGCTAATGGTGTTCAGCTTACTAAAGGAGTCAATTCAAGAGTCCTGTAGCTTTAAGGTCTCCGATAAACAAGAGACGTATGGAATCTTTAATCGGAAGGCAACATAGAGGTTATCTTGCCTACTCCTGGCATCCCTGGCAGATGCCTACACGTCCCTGGCACAAATGCCTACAGTAATAAAGAGCACGAATTGCCTTTTAATTGAGATATAATTCACATGTCATAAAATCTCCCATTTTAATGTGTACAATTCAGTGTTTCTTCAAATGATATGCACAAGGCAGTTTGTCCAACCATGACCGCTTTTTAGAATTTTGATTTAAAAAAAAAAAGAATTTTGATTTTAATTCCAGTATAGTCAACATGCAGTGCTAAGTCAGTTTCAGGTGCAGAATATAGTGATTCACAATTATATACATTAGTCAGTGCTCATCATAAGCGACTTAATCCCCTTCACCTGTTCCACCCATCCCCCACCCCCATCCCTCCACCTCCCCTCTGGGGACTATCTGTGCTCTATAGTTATGAGTCTGTTTCTTGGCTTTTCTCTTTTGTTGTTGCTGTTGTTCACTTATTTTGTTTCTTAAATTCCACATGTGAGTGAAATCATATGGTATGTATCTGTCTTTCTCTTACTGACTTACTTTGCTTGGCATTATACTCTCCGGATCCGTCCATGTTGTTGCAAATGGCAAGGTTTCATTCTTTGTTACGGCTGAGCAATATCCCATTGTATAATACGTATCACATCTTCCGTATCCATCATGTATCGATGAACACTTGGGCTGCTTCCCTGTCTTGGCTACTGTAAATAATGCTGCAATAAACATAGAGGCGCATGAATCCTTTCGAAGTAATGTTTTCATATTCTTTGGGTAAAGACAGAGGGCAGTTCTATTTTTACTTTTT